GTGTTCTGTTAATAATCTTTTAGAACTTTTTGTTACAATCTTTCCAATTATTGATTTTGTATTCTCCTCTTCTACTGTTTCTATTAAAACCTATTCTTTTTTTCTTTTGTCACACAAAAGTGGTTTTGGCAGCACTTCAAGAGCAAAGCTGTTTGGTTCATTTGTTCTCCAATCTGTTTTTAATAATTTTTTTCTTTTGTTATCTAATATTTTTTCTTCGATTTTTGTAAACCACTTGGCTTTTCTGCCTTTGCTTGATTCTTTTTGTAATAATTTAAGTTGTTGTCATATAATCATTTTGTTGCCTGTCTTCATAAGTAACTAATTTATATAGATTAAGTTAACTTTACTAAGAAATCTAGCTGTGTTTTTAGTAAAATCATTGCCAAGTAGATCAGTGATTTTTGTATTTTTTCCTTTTATATTAAGATCTGAAGTTGCAAATCTCATTGTTACTTGTATCTCTTTAGCTCTAAGCATAATGTAACATGCTAGGTTGTCTTTCCATAAGCTCTTGCATGCCTTAGGTGGGTTATAGTACCAATTGGTTTCTGATGCTCCTATTAATAAGAGTCCATAGTTAATCTGTATTTTGGTAAGAACTTCTTCTGGACCTATAGTGTTAACTCATACATGTAAACTTGTAATTTGTTTTATTAATAGTTGGTGCCAAAGAGAGTCACAGTTTCCGAGATTTCTATACAACATAATACTATTGTTTACTATACTTGCAATTTCAAGCTTGTGTTTTGCTAATCTTAAAATTGGCTTTTGTATTGCTTTTATTACTGTTTTAGATAATTTTGTTACTTGTAGCAAGTAGGTAAGCTTAGGCACTATGCACATATTATTAATATAAGCTACTTGTGCTATTGTCATTTTTTTGGTTTCAAAACTTCTTATTATTGTACATATAACTTCTTGAGCTCTTGTTTTAACTAATGACTCCTTTAACTTATTGTTAAGCCATATTTCCAAGAATCTTGTTATTTTGTTTATATTATCTTCTTGTATCCATTCATTGCCTAAATGTATCTTTCTATTTTCTATTTTTTCTTTTGTATTCATAATTACTAGTTTTGATTTTTTTCCATTTATCTAAATGTCATTAATTCTAAAAAACTCTTCTGCTATTTGAATTGTCTGCTCTATCTGTTCTTTGTTTTTTGCAATCCAAGTTGTGTTATCTGCAAAAGCTACTACTGCTTGTCTTCATTTCATTTTTTTGCAATAGTTGAGGTTATAGTTGTATAGAATATCTACTTCAGCTATATATCCAAGGTTTGAGTCTTCTTGGATTCTTTTGAGTAGTGGGTCATAAAATATTCTCTATACTAATAGTGATAACACTTTACCTTGTTCAATACTATCTTCTACTTCCCATGTTTCTGTAGTTCTCCAATGTGTAATAATTTTGGATTGCCTGTTTTTAAATAAATTCAGTATGAAGTTTATAATTCTTTCAGGCATTTTAAGTCTTCTCATTGCCAGATCTAGTGCTTGTAGAGATACTGAATCAAATGCTTTTTTCATATTCTGAAAAACCAGCCATAGTTCCTTGTTATTGTCTTTGGCATCTTCTATTATTGCATTGATAATATGTACTGATTCTTCTGTCAAGTTTTTTGAAACACCTGCAAAGTTAGAGTCCTTAAATATTTTTCTTTTAATAAAAACTTGTGTTAATCTGTTTGTTAGAATCTTTGTTGTGCATTTTCTTAGTGTCTCTAGTAGAGTGATAGGCCTAACATTATTCAAGTTATATTGCTATTCTGTTTCTTTTGGTATAAGATATATCTGTAATATTTTTTATTTTTTTGGTACATTTTCTGCCTTAATGCATATTTAGCAAAAATTCTAAATATTTCTTGTATATATGATTCTGCTGCTTGTATAAGCCTATAAGTGATTCCTGTAACTCCTGAAGCTGTATTTTTTTTTAAACCTGTAAGCATTTCTGACCATTCATCTGATGTAATGTCTTGGCTTATATCTTTGTACCAATCTGATTGTATTAATATTTTGGGTTTGTAAATCTTTTCCTATTCATCATTTAAAATTTCTTTTCTGAAATTTTAGAGTTTTAATTGGTTTTAAAAATGTTTTTTCATTTTGTCGAGAACCTCTAATAGTTCTATAATTAATTTTCTATAGACATTTTCATCTTCTATAAGTCTGTCTATTTGGATTTTTCTACTTGGTCTGTTGAGTAAACTTGTAAGCATTTTCCCCTGTTTGCTGTTAAACATTTGGCATCTTTTTTCTATATTTTCTTTAATTTTTCTTCTTTTTAAGATCTCAATTTTACTTGATCTTCTTGCATAGAATATTTTCTACCAACCTTTAAGATCTTCTATTAGTTCTTCTGTCCAACTTTTGGATGCTAAGTCGATATATGTTTTTTGGTATTGGTTGATGTATTCTATTTCCTTATTAAGTTCTTTTATATTGTCATTTAAAAAACTAAGTTTAATATTTATTCTACCAATTATAATCCATCTTCCTAACTGTGTTAGTACTTTGGTAAGCTTTGCTTTTTTTGTCTGTTTTTTCCTATTTTCTACTATGTTAAGTGTTTTCTTTTTAGGAAGTGATTTTTTTGCAGCTGCTTGTATGCCATTGCTAATAATATCCCACTAGTTATCTAATCTATTTTTTATATTTGTTGGCATACTTACATTACTTAACTTATATAATATATTTTTTAAATCTTGTATGTTGATTTTTTTCTTTAATTGTTAGTCAAGTTCTGTTTTGTAGTTTTCCTAATCTTCTTTTGTTGCTTTGTCATATAAGTAGATTGTTCTTTGTTGACCAGATCTTTTTAGTTCTGCTGGACCTCATGTAGCTATTAAGTGTTTTAAATCTAATTTTGCTAATACTATACCATGGTCGCTATTTGTGCATATATCCATTTTCTGTATTTCTGCATCATATAGTCCATATGATAAGTCTTCTGTTATTCATATTTGATCAATTCTTGAACTCGAGTCTTTACCTAACCAGAAAAATTCTTTGGATTCTGAATTTATTGTTCTAATGTATCACAAAGCTCCTGTCTTGTTAACCATTTGAGAAGCGGATCTTGTTTTTCTGACTTTCATTTTGAATTAACAGATCTATTGAGTTCATTATTAACTACACTATTAAAGTTCCTCATTATTATTACCTGTATTCTTTGTGGTCATTTGATGTATTTTTCTATTACTGCTCTTTGTATTCTTTTATGTTCTTCCTTGTTATTAAGTGGCATATATAGCATTATAACTACTATTTCTAGTTGTTTAAATACAAATTTGGCTGTAATCATGTTTTTATTTGTTTTATCTATTCCTCCAAGATGTTTTTCCTAATGTTTGTTAATAAGTAAGCCAATTTCAAAGCTCTTTTTCTTTTCTGGATTTGAATTTGCCCAGAAGCTCTTGTATTCCTTCATATTTCTTATAATAAAAAACTCGTCTTTGCTTGAAATATTTGTTTCTAATAGGCCAATTATATCTATTTTGTTGTTAATTAGCTACTTGTATATTGTTTCTATTTTTTGATTGTTTTTCTTAAGACCATTAATGTTATGTACTGCTATATTTAAGTTAGTTTCTTCTATATTTCCATTTCTTTTCTTAGTCTTTTCTTCAGTTTCTTCTAGGTGTAGTATATTCTTTTGATTTGTAGTTTATTTTTCTCTTTTTCCTATTGAAAAGACTTCTATTTTTACACTCTTGTTCTTTAGTTCAACTGTAGTGAAAGTTAGAAGCATTGTGGCCATCCTCTTTTGATAAAGATTTTAGGTTGTGCTTTTTGTGTCTTGAGTTTTTCAAGTCTAATTAGTATGCATTGTAAGAGGTCTTGCATTTGTGTTTGATTTTCTGAATTTGCATTTTCTTATCTCTTCTTTTGTTTTTATATTTCTTGTTTTTCCAAGAATTTGTGCTTTCTACATTTTTATAATCTTCTGAATCTGTGTCTTGGCTAGATTCATCTATATCTTCTTTCTTTCTGTTTTTTTTAAACTTTTCCTTTTTTTGGTTTCTCTTTTTTCTTCCATTACTCAATATACTCGAAAGTTGTTGTATCTGATTAGTTTGGATTGGGCTACATTTATTTCCTCTTTTGTTGTAAAAATAATTGTTGCTGTTCATCTTTAATTTCCATTTCTGTTTAATGAAAAATATACAGAGTTTGCACCTTTACTTTTTAAACATCACAGCAAAAGTACTTCTAATGCACTCCCAGAAAGTTCTGTTAACTTTGCTGTAAATTGGCTCTGGTGATTTCTTTTTTTATAATCTTCATTACCTTTCGTTACTCTTACTAGTTTTTTATTATCCATAAGTAATGACCAAGGTATGCCTTTATCTTCATATTCATCTGTTTTGATTATTGCCAATGCTTTGTACTTTGACCTTTTAATTCTAACTATGTGGGCCTTTCTAATTCTTCTGCAGATAAAGTCTAATTCTGTTCTATTTATATTTGCTGATAGATTCCATATAGTTAGATAGTTGGTATAAGTTTCTTTTAGCTCTTTTCCAATTGAGAGGTTTTTATCTTTTTTTTTTTCTTCTTCTTTATCAACTTTATGTTTTGGTTGCTTTCCTTTAGAGTTTAACTGCATACTTTGGTCTTTTTCTTTACTTTTATTTTTTGTCTCCTCTGGAATGAGTTTGAGCCATTCTCCTTCCTTTCTACTAATTCTTTTGATTGCTTCATCTCTACTGTATTTACAATCAAAGTCAACTTCAATCCAATTATTTCTCTTTTTGAAAGCTTCTTTGATTGTTCTTATATATTTGTTTTCTCTCAGAATTCATCGAACATATTTGATTCTATCTTTCTTTGTTTCTTCAGAAAGTATATATATGGGAAAATTGCCCTTGAATAACTTGTTTCCTATACATGTTCTGTATTTAGGAGACCAGTCACTGTGTTCTATTGAGGATGAAGAGGAGAAGAAGAAGGAGGAGGAAGAGGGAATAGGCAATGATATGAGGTCTTCTAACTCTATTTGTTCGGTTTCTGTTGATTTTGCTAGTATGTTTTCATTGACCTTTTTTTTTTCCAATTCTATTCTTATTTCTGTAAAGTAGTTCATTCCTGTTTTTTGATATTGCTGTTCTATATTAAGTTTTTTGATTCTACCTGTTATAACTTCACTATCTGAATTCAAATCCATTTTATTATTAATTGCTTGATATCTTTTTTTTGCAAGTGTGTTATTGTTGAAATTTTCTCTTTCATTATGATTTTTTTTCACTTCTTCCATTTTTTCTTCTTCTTTTTGTATTTCTTTTTTGCTCATACCTACTGTATATTTTACTGATGCTAGGTTAAGATCTGCTATTCTTATTTTGTTGGCTCAATCTTTAATAAACTTTTTTGATAGAGTTATCATTATTTCTGTTTCAACTTTAAGAGCTTAAGTATTTGGCCATAGAGTATTAAGTCTTTTGTTGTAATATTTTTTGGATCATTAATTGCTAGTTCTTTAGCTATAATTTTAATATTGCTTGGGTTTTTGTATATGATTGTTCTTAGCACTTGATCCAACTTACAACTATTTAAATATCTATGAACTATATCACCTGTTCCTTGCATATGTTGAATTACAAATTGATTATGAAGCATTTCCATTCTGAGTCGTATACCTGTTTCTAGACTATTCTATTGATGTTTACTATTTTTAGAATTCTCTATAGTTTGTTTGTTGTTAATTTTACTAATATGTTTGTATTTTCTAAATAGGATGTGTTTGTTTTGTATATTTTGTTTACTAGTGTTTGTTGATATGTGTCACATGTTTATTTACTATTATTTAGGATCTAAGTCAAATTCCCAAATTTTTCAAAAGAAAGAATTTTTGTTGTAAATTTTGCAAGAATTCAAAATTTTTCTATTATACTTCTGTTTGTTTAAGTTGTTGTTCTAACTAAGTCTATTTCTTTTTTCCTTCTTAAGATTATTTCTTAGTTGTTCAAAGTGTCATTCTTATTCTATTTTTCTACTTTTCTTTGTGTAATTTTGGTTTTGTTTATTTATAAAAAAGTAGATTAGCAAAAAAAGTGCATTGCAAATACTTATTAATATTATTAGAAGTACTTTATTTTTAACTAAAATAATTTTTTATTTTTATAATTATTATATTTTATTAAATATATTTAATACATTTTATTATACAATATATTTATTTTATATATATTTAAATTTTATTTATTTATTTATTTTATATATATTTTTTATATTTATTTTAATATATAATATATTTATATTTTAAATAAAATTTTTTTATTAGATATTAATAATTATTATTAATTAATATAAATATTTAAAAAATTTTAAGAAGAATTAATCTAATAATCATTATAATATTATATGACAAGTATTTGGCCTAAGTTAGAATTAGTTTATAGTTAGTTTAAAGATATAGATTACTTAAATCTATTTAATTTTAACAACAAATAATGATATAATATATTTATTATATAATTGTTAATTATTAAATTAACTATTTTTAATATATTTTAATATATAAATTTTTTTAAATCTTAATTAAAGATATTTTAACAACTATTGATTAAAATTTATAAAAATTTTTTATTTAAATTTTACAAATCTGTAGAATTTAAAATAAAGAAAGTTTATTAATTTTAGTTAAATAGTTATTAAATAACCTTCACTATAATACAAATATTAATGCAATTATTATTAATTAAATAAATATTTAAAATTTTCTAAAACTTGATCAAAAATATTTTAACAACTATTTAATCAAAATTAATAAAATTTTTTTATTTAAATTATATAGAATTGTAAAATTTAAATAAAAAATATATTAATTTTAGTTATATAGTTGTTAAATACTCATAATTCAAGTTCTAGTACAAATATTAGCTTGGTTATTATTAAATAATATATATGTTTAAAATTTTAAAACTTGATTAAAAATATCTTGAAAACTACTAAACTAAAGTCAATAAAAATTTTTTATTAAATTCTACAGATTTATAGAATTTAAATAAAAAAAATTATTAATTTTAGTTAAATAGTTGCTAAGATAATTTTAATTAAATTTTAAATATCAATTAATTATATAAATTTTTTAATTAATAATATTGGTTAAATTTGCAAATCACTTGACTATATTTAGTAAAAAAACAACTTTAAATATAGTTAAATAATCTGCAAGTTTAACCAAAATTATGAATAATAATTTTATCAAACATGTAATTCAAATTATTATATTTTAATTTTTTTTAACAGTTTGTTCAATATTTATCTTTTCTATTTGTTACTTATTTGAAATAATTAGTTAAATAATTTATTAACTAGATATTTATTAATGCTAATATAATACTATTTATATTTTATAGATATTTAATTTTTGTTAAATTTTAACTAATATCAGTTTAATATTATAACTAAAAAATGCTAATATAATACTAATATTTTTTTATTTGATTTGTAAAGGCAACACAAAAGTTTTGCTTAAGTATTATATCATCTTTAGACCAATATATTTATAAAATAGTTTAATAAGATTTTATATAATAATATACATAATTAATAATAAACATAAAAGTTAAAACTTACTATTTTATTATATATTGAACTGCAAAGCAAGTCTTTATTTAAAAAACATTATTTTATTTAGTATATAATAGAAGGTTCAATTATCTGTATATTCTAGTATATTTGCAAAATTGTTAAATGAAACAACTATTTAAAGAATATATAAGATTAACTATAATTTATCAGAAGTTTGTAAGTAAGCATTACATCAAAATCTAAAAATTTTAAAAAAATAAAAGAATTAATATAATTAGTCAATTAAAGCTACTTTTAATTTTTTAATAAATTATAAAATTCTTATTTACAATTTTATTATAATTGATATATAAATTATAAATTTATATTCAAATGAAAAAAATTCTACTATTTGTATATAAAATATATAAAATAGACTAAAAGATATTTGCACTGCTTATTAATAAAAAATTAATAAAGTTATATTATAATTAAAATATATAAAAAAAAACTAAAAAAGCTATTTAAAAAAAACAAAAATAAAAATAACCAACTGTATTATTCTTAAATAAATCTAATATAATTTTTTTTTTGTTAATTACTTGTTTATAAATCTATATTAGACTTTTTTTTTATTAATTAAAATAATATCACAAAGGTTTTATTTGCATACTACCAAATTCTTAAAGCTGTTTAAATAAAAATTAAGTTAAAAGTCCAATTTATGCTTTTTACTTAAATGCATTGCTAGTGTTAAAAACAAAATAGATATCAGAGTTGCTCTAACCTAGTGCTGCCCTAACCTATGCCCTTTTACAGCAAGAACACTCCTGATACAAGCCAACTATTGTGCATTGATTGCATCTTGAAAAACTTGAAAGCCAAGCTGCCCAACTGAAACAATGCTATAATGATGCAGAATTAGGTACTATAGCTGTTTGTTGAGGTAGATCTGCCAGATTGAGCTAGTTATTTGTATTATATAAGGCCATTCAAGGTCCTGATCATAATAATGAATTTGAAACTATTAAGTTTAGTAGAAAAATGTTTGATTTTAGGCTCCTGTGCTATTTCTTTTTGTAGAATGCTATTCTTGTATACAAGTGTATTTTTTTTTTTAAAGTTAAAAAAAGAAGGAAGCAAATAGAATAGTCATTATTAGTAATAGCTATATTGGTAATAAAAACATCTTAGTAATGAACTGAGATCTTGCACTTACACCTTAGCCTTGCCAAATTATTTCATCTCTTTTATAATGCAATATTTCATAACATTTGATATTTTCAAGTGATAATCTATCACATTTTCTTTGACCTTGTATTCTGTAAACCCAAAACCTCTCTAACACTAAACACATTGTCTAAAAGCCAAATTATAGTTTTTAAAAATATTCTTTTTTAATATTATATAACTACTGTCTTTAAAACATATTATCTTTTTAAATAATTGAGTATAAAATAACTATATTATATTACCTTTATAATACTTACCATTATTTAACAAATAAAAAACAAAAATTATTAACTCTTGTAGTAATAATAACTTGTAAAACTCATATATAAGAACAAAGAATTGTAACAAACTTAGCAATAACTTTATTTTTATTTTTTTATTTTTGTATAAATATTATTTTTTTTTACTATATATATTATTTTTTATAATTAAATTCTTTAAAGTAATAAAGCAAAAAGAATTTATTATTGTAATTAAAAAAGAATTTCTATAATTAATATGCTTAATATAATACATATAATTTATATAATATACATAGTACATATAATATATATAATAAGCAAGAAAAATATAATAAATATAGCAAAAAAGTTAAACATAATTAATATAAAAAACATCATTATTATTTACTTTATATGTATGTAAAAAGTATTAAAAACTTGTCTTTTTACTTAAATAAAAAATAACTTTTAAAGTTTTAAATAGTAAAAATCTTTAAAATATAAGTAAAAGTATTTATCTTTAAGTTTTTATAATATATTCTTTAAAAATATTATAAAAATTATTCATTATAATAATAATTTCTTATTACTATGATTATTATATATTGCATTTTCATATTGCAAAAAAAAATAAAAAAATAATAGTTAATAATTAGGTTCTTTATATACTAAATATAAAACTAATTAAATTTGTAATTAGCTTATAATTAATAGGTAATATTTATATAATTATTTTGAAATATAACCTTATAATTATGTGCTATTATGAATTAAATTTATAGTTAAATAACTATTAACAAATAAAATAAAGTATTCTCAATTTAATAAAAGAATAACTATATTACAAAAATTCAAAACAGAAAAAAACTTATCTAGTACTATTATTATTTTATAACTTACATAATTCTGATTACTTAGACCAAGTTTTTTTATAACTTTATTATAATTTTACTAATATCAGAATTGAATATTATAGTTATATTGTTTGGTTTTTTTATATTTAAAGACTTATTCTTATAGCATATTTTATTAATATAATTAAGATTAGCCTATACAACTATTTTTTACAAAAATAAAAATACTACTAGTTATATATACAACTTTTAGTTGCTTATTTAAATAGTCTGCTTTAAAGTTTTATACAGAATATTATACTTATAATTTACTAAAAAAATATCTATTAAGAATAGCAATCCTA